ACAAATTCCTTTGTTTTGAAGATTTAGAACTGAAGAAATAAATTAAATCAATGGGATAAATTTAAATGTTATATTCTAAGATGAAAAACCTTCACAGTACGTATTTTTAGGTAGCATTTTAATGATAATAAATCAAAAATTTCGAAATGAAATTCCCTGAAAGCTACGAATGCCAAAGTTCCCATTGTATAGATAGTCCGTTTGTTATCCTTTAACTAACAACTTCTTCAAAATGTTCAGCTTAAGCCATAATTAAAAATAAATCTCTGGGTGAAAAGTAGGTCAAATGTAAAAGTCGCTTACGCAAATTAAATTGCAAAATATATCTTCTGATTAGAAAACTTATTTTTAAAAGATAAATAAAATAAGAAAAACAAGTCCGACGAGTGAATAAATTTATATACATATTTGAATTTTGCAAATTTATTCAGCGTTTTACTCTCTGACAGTATTTTATTTTACACTTTATCAAATAATTTAAAATATCATTTAAAGATTCTCTCTCATAGCATCATCATGATTTTCATTAGCAGATGATCTAGTATCATTTACTAAAAACACAGCTCTGAATGAGCATATTTTGCACAGTTTTTTGAAATACTCTTAAAATGGTACCCTTTAAGTTAAAATTTCATTTCAGGGAAAAGAAAGTATTCTCTAGGTGTACAGTGACACTTTTCTTTACAATAAATTTCTTGCCAACAGCTGAAAAGAAAACTTTTCTGCTTCTATATTTAGTCCCAATCCTTAATGCTATGTAAAATCTGCTACATAAAATCAAACAAATAATTACTTTCAAATTCCTTTCCGTTAAATAAGGATATTCTGTTCGAAGCAAACTGGTCTGCATTAGTAATCATTGTCTCAAATTATCATTTTGCAGCTTTACTGGCGCAGGTTGAAAGATTTCAAGTCTACAATATGTAAGTGATATGAGTAAATGTGTTATAATATGACATAATGTTATAATATGTTATAATATATATATATATATATAATGTTATAATATGTTATAATATATATATTATAATGTTATAATATTTTATAATATATATATATATATAATGTTATAATATGTGTATATAATCTATATATCTATAATGTTATAATATGTTATAATATATATAATGTTAACATATATGAGTTAAGTAACAAGTTGTCTAACATAAATAAATCACATATACTATTTTAGTGTTAAATAATAAATATCTGAATTAGAAACAGTCACCCTTCTATAACTTACTTGGTGTTTACAATGAAAATTTTGAGGACGAATTACTTCCTTTAATGCGATCGTACAAAATAACCATAGACATACTGATGAATTGCTCTGTGATGATGCTAATTTATAGAAACGCTGTTTTTAGCGACATTTCTGCAATCAGAAATGATTACGCATGAGGAAAAAAAATGCACCATTTATTACCAATAATTATATTTTCCTTGTCTTTATGAAGACCTTCAAACGTATCTTTGTCAGTGCTATCAATCTTTGTCAATATGTAGTTGCTGACATACACTAGGAAAAGTTCTATTAAGAAAGGGGCTTGTAAAATCATTATTAGAAATCTTATCTCCACTTACACAATCGCGTTACAAAACAAGCAGGACAAATTTTGTTTCGGATTCCTCATCCTAATAAAATAATTATGGCTGAAGGAACGTTTAAGAGTTCAAATAATTAAAAATTTATCCCGTAGATGTATATTTGAAATAATAATGAGATTTCATAATTAATTTGAAGGAAATACAAGAAAAAATTCAAGCTTTCGTGTTTCGTTTTCTAACAAATTAAATATAATTTTTTTTCTCCGTTAATAAATTTCTATCTTCGAGTAGGCATTTAAAAGAAATTTACACACATGAGTGCAGGGTTGTTTTCTTCTCTAAAAACTGCTGAAAAGTAAAATGATTATCTAAGGTTCGTTAATGTTAATTAAACAGTTGTTTTATGTTTAAGATCTTTACTGTCTCTTCTTCCTTCCGTTTTTCAGCCAGAATACAAATTAGTTCGCGTATATTTAAAGTGAGATTTTCAGATTGTAAGGCACAACATATTCTGCCTCTCGAAGCCACGTTATTAGGTTGCTAGATCAGATAAAATTTGTAGTCGTCGGCCTTGCATTATAATTGCGGATAGTTGGATATCCACGCTGGTTAAGTTTCGAGCCAACTTCGGGGTAATTGATCTGTGTAGCCTTTGGCTACTAGTTTATTTAAATTAAATTTTACATTTAGCATACTGTTGCTTTAAGTTATCTCGCCACAAGTGATTGGCTGAGTTGTAAGAACCAAGTGTGCCTTTTGTTCTTATTAATTTTTAAATGAAGGCCTTTTACACCCTTCTTAGGTTTCAGTTTTTATTTTAGACTTAGGAATAATACTAATAAATTTGAAAGTTACTAAATTTGATAATTATTTACCTCATATATAAAAGAATCTTTTCGTATATTTTATAGTTGAAAAAAGGACAGAAAGAAAAATTCTTAGTTGGTAAAATTTTGTAAAATGTTAAATTTGATTAAATATGAATACTGGTGGTATAATGAGCTATTGATAAAGCTGTAAAATGCACTGAATCTTCGCAAATCGCTTATGACACATAAATCCTCTCCGATAGCCATAAATCCACTAAGTATCTTAATATTATATTAAGTAATATTGTGATATCACCAGTACAAATGTTATTGAATTAGACGTCTGAGTGTAAGGAACATCTTTTTCATGTTTAACTAAGAGGGATGGTTAGGTTAGGTTATTTAAATACGGTAAAGCACTATCTTCTGGGGGTCTCTTCCCAAGGTAAGGGATGCCTTCATTGAGAACTTTCTAACAGAAACTGGCTCGTATTCACGTTACATATAGAGAACACATACCATACAGCCAATCCATACAGAGAACCATACAGCCAGTCCGTTTGATTAGAATTGAACCTCAGCTCAGGCTCTCAGCGCTCTTACACACTGGTGGAATAAGAGGGAATAAAACTGCTAATGCTCTTGATTAATTGATTTGGAAGTCCACGAAATTGCTCAAATTTTATTTGTAGCTTCTCAATAAACTGAAAATAAATCCAACCCTGAGAATTACTTGCATGTTTGTAAACTGACTTGGTGCTGTCTTAATCGAACTGGGTGGCAGAATAGAATAAGTGTCCCTTACTAGGGGCTTAAAGGATATTGACTTTGAATGATTTTTTCCCATTTTGTTTTAGGTATAATTCCCTTCGGCTTTCACTTCACGTTTCCTTTCTTGTATTTCAATACACAGGATTAGTCAATTGGAATTTTTCTGGAAAGACTAAAGACACTCAGTCGTTGTCAGGAATTATCAGCCCATGAGAGGTAGTCAAAACAAGTAATGTAATCACCTTCATTACTGATCTTTTCCCTGGGCTCTTCTTAAAATCCTTTGCAACAGCGCAAGGCATCGATACTTTCAGCTGAACTAATTTCATGCAGTCCTTTCAAAAAATATTACAACGTTTTCAGTTTTCTTTATATCTTCTTTCTTGGATGATATATATTATTATATAATTAGGCAGAATAAAAATAACATGCCTTGATTCATTACGTTGGCTGAAACCGACAGGTTGGTATGGCGATTAGAGGTTGGAATCATCCAGAGTGTTGATTATTATGATTAGTTCAGAGTTGATATGGCTGGTCAGCGGCTGATTAAAAAGATTCTTCATCACGGGGCATCAGCCTTTATTTTACCAAAATTAGAAATGAAAATCCTACTTAAGTGAAAAGATATTAGTAAGTAGAGACATTAGATTATTTCGAAGCAGGAGAATGAAACATGAGCAGTGCCCTCTCCGGGACTCGAACCTCGAACCTCTCGAATACGCGCCGAGCGGGCTGACCATTACACCACGAAGGCATGCTAAGAAGGCGGGAGAAATACTTTATATATATATTATATATACATATGCATAATCTTCTTTACTACATGACACAGCTTTATATCAATAGAAATTACTTATCAATTTTATTAATAATTATTTTTTGTAATCAATGGGACCTCGATTATGTCTATCACATCCAACTGCATTTTCCGATATCGACCCCCAGCCGAACCCTCGATCATCATTGACTCCTAGGCTGCTAATATCGACCCTTTGGGGAACTCCTGCTCTAGATGGTGAAATGAAAAACTTTTACTAGTATTCATATAAGGTGTTTTATAAATCACCTTTGTCTTAAAATACGTCAGTCAGTGTGGTAGAAAGTCAAAATGTGAAGGTTTTCAGTTATTGTTATTTAACTCAAATACTTCAAAGAAATAAACTTCTGCGTCAAAGAGAGCTGTAAAACAAACAGTATTTTTCTTAAGAATAAAAATTACAGCAGGAAAAAATGGACATCATTTATAGTGTATAAATATGAAATCTTTTAAACATTAGTTATAAAGGCTTGTAGTCTGAAGCAGCCTTGAAACGCATTGATTATATTAACAAAAAATTTCAAAGCTCGAATAAAACCTAAATTACTTATCTGTAAATACCTCTTTGACTATTAATGTTTCAATATGGTTTAGTACGATATACTCTAAATTTAATATAGTCTCCTTTTCGATGGCAATATTTAAGGTGAAGCTTATAAACGTAGAAACAGTGCATTTTTTCCAATTTTTGGGAAAACTGCGAATATATGTATTGAAAAAAGGGACAGAATGTAAAGAGTTTTGCTTTTAAATATAAAAAAAATAATTTATGAAAAGAAAAATTTCTAAACACTGAGCCATTACGTTAATCACATTTCCTAAAACTCGACGAGTAATAGTAAGAATGTCTTCTTTTACTATAACGCGTTGAGTATATAGGAAAAAATAATTTCATAGTCATTCGTTCATTAAAAGATACATATTTTATCGGAAAATTGAAGATTGAGAGCTTTTTATAATAAATAGAGTTTTCTTAAAAAATATGTAGGCATTCTATTTTCTAATACTAAGGAGACTTCCCTTATATTACTATGTAAAATATATGTACTTACCCAAGCAAAAAATCACAGATAAAATTTTCCAAAGTCACTTGATTCTGAATCATACATGAATAAAAGGATGATGAAGTATACTTCACCTGTTATTGAAAACTTTTATCATTTGATTCTTGAGTGTACAGATAAAATTAGATAAAGTGGACTTTAGATTTCTCCTTGTATAATAATTTTGAAAGGATTAAGAACGTGCTGAGGTTATTCTATAAATACACAAACACATTTGCTTTCTGCAGCGTAGCACTTATGACTGATGTCTGGTAAATGACATAAAGAAAAATGTCAAGAATGTCTGGTAAATGACATAAAAAGAGGTATAGAATCTTTCTTCACTTAAACAAACATCAATGAAATTTCTTAAATTCGATACCGAAACATGATATTTCTTTCTTTACTCCTGTAAAGAAAGCTCATTATATTAACAAAGTAAATAAAATTATCTAGACCAATAAAACATCACATGGAAGAAACCTTGAATCAATCCAATAGTTTGTTATTTTGGATGGCGGAAAATTCGCCATATATATATATATATATATATATATATATTATTATTATTATTATTACGTGCATACTGTTTCGTAATGGATAGAATAAGCATAGAACTGATAGTTTAATAAAATTTATTTTCCCACAAGAAACACTTTACAATTCTGGAACTTTTCACAAAAGTTCTCGTACAGCTTTTCTCAGTATGACACAGTACAATCAGCAGTTATCCCTTCAAGCTACTAAGACCTCTGAACACAAAACTATAAAATGCTTCAAATGTATAGGCTCTCACAATGATGTCTCAATGCTCTCAGTACTCTGAGCGAAACTCTGAACTAAACTAAATTGATCCTCTCTCCGGTCTTATACAGAGTGATTTCTAAATTATTTTCACAAATTAAGAGGGGGGATAGTACTCATCCAGCTGAGCAATAATTACCATAGAACATAGGATCGTATTCCATTCTGAGAGGCAGAAGAGCGGAATACTATAATTTCAACCTGAAACTTACAACAGTGTTGGGAGAGCGGATGAACGAGACTAAAAGTTGCACAATAAGTTTAGTGAAATCCTCACAGAGAGTGCATAAAACGGATAAAACCGAAAATTTAACGTTCGAGTGTTATTCGAGCTCAGACTTTGATGGCAATCACTCAAATGCACATCTTTGATTGGCAAGGTCTCAACCTCGCAAGCGATTGCAACAAGTTAATTATCTAATCAAGGGCTGAGTATCAATTAACTCCAACTTCCGCTGTATGCCGAGATTAGCAGGAAAAGTTCATGCTGTGTTCCAGCTGTCAGAACTTCGTATCCCATAGAAGGCCGCTTAAAGTAGAATGAGCGCAGCACAGTAAGTTGAGGACGAAAGGATAGAAGATGGCGAAGGGGGTAACATAGGAATACGTGCCTTAACATAGGAATACGTGCCAATATTTACGAGCAATGTAAATTTGTAGCTTGCTGTCTTACTCTCTTATAAGTTCATATACAGTGAAAAGGAAATGGAACAAGTTAAAAACAATAGAAAGTATCTCATGAAATAAACAACTTTAATTATATGTTAGCGTATTATATATATCCAGTTGCAACTAGAATAGTTATTCTGTATCAGTTTCTTCACCGGTTTAAGAAGATTGGCATCTTTTGTGGAGTACTCTTTGCAAATGAACTTGCTGCAGGCCTAACACTTCATAATAGTAATTTTATTTTTAACCCATTATAGAAAACATAAGCAAGCCTCGATTTGTTTTCCCCTCATTGCCATATTGTACTTTAAATTCTGTTTCATTTCGTCCTTTATATTTCTCCAGCAATCGCTTTATCGAAGGTGGCAGGTTGGCTAACTGAGCTCTTTCTTCTTAACGGCATTTCATAAGATCTGAAAACATTTTTCCCCAGAAACGCCGTCCTGGTGCGTAAGTGCTTTGTGCTGTTAGAATTATACAAAATTTGGCATTTATTACAAGTGAAAATCACAGTTGAAAAAGTATACAAAGAGATCAGCTTTTTGTTCTTTTAAACGGCTTCCACACATCTGGACAAATGCATCAACTTCTTTTGTTGAGTTATAAAAGAATATAACTTCATGTTTTTTATTCTAGATCAACTGTGAGGGATAAGAGCATACTTGATTTATTTCGTTTTGGAGCAACCTTTAGATTTTTGTATCAATATCCGAAACCCAAAATTGTAAAAATAAACAAAATCAAAATTACGTGTTTCAGTTAAAAGTAGGGAAATGAACAAGTAATAAATAAAAACATGAAAAGAATATTGCTTACATTTTCCTCACACAATACTCCAGACACAATCTTTTACCACTTGGTTATTCACAATGATTTTCCTCTTGGTGTATTCAGTTCTTCAGAGAGACTTGAACTATAAAAACGCTTCGTTCAGTGTCCGAAGTTCAAATGAATGAAAGCGACAACCTGCCTAAACCACTGGATATTTATTATAGTGTCCGTCCAGCAAAGGGGCACTCAAAGTGCATGGGAAGCGGAAAGGCCTCCCGAGAGGTTGATGGTAGGAGAAGAGGTGTGGAAGGCCGCTGGACCATTCCCTAGGCTTGTTTTCCCTCAATACTGAAGAGGAACTGCACAAGTTAGCGCGAGGGACTATACCTGTACGACCAATGGTGGAATTCTGGTCACCATCCCACTTCTCACGGTGCCTGCCTACATCACTCAGCAAGGGTCATGGGTAGGTAAAGGTGGGAGGGAAAATTCAAAGGCAAAGCAGAGACGGAATTGCGCTCGTAACGTTACACTGGTGCATAAAATACACCAGCGCGACTAATTAAGGGTTAAACGATGTAAATATATTTGATTTTTATTCTATTTGTCAAATATCCAATGCATATTGTAAGGTTCTATTATGTTAATATAACCAATTATTATGATTTAGATCTTTACTGTCACTTCTCCCCGTTTCCCCATTAGAATGCAAATTAAGTTAAGATTATTTAAGGTGAGATTTCCGTATTGTAAACCTAGGTTTCTGCTAGCTCAGATACGATTTAATTATTCGGCTTGCCATATGGCTGCCGTCATTTTAAATTGTTACTCCGGTGAGAAGTTTTGAGCCAACTTCGCGTCAAATCAAACTGTGTAGCTTTTGGATACTACTTTTTAAATTTGAAATTTACTGTTACTTTAAGATTCATTGCCACAAGTGGTGGTTGACCTATAAGCACAAGATATGCAATTTATGTTTGATAAAAAGGTTTGTTTGTAAGCCTTCTTAAGCCTTTACAGTTAATTTCAGGCACAGTGATAGTTCACTCTAAGTCTGTTAGGGATTTGGACTAAGTTTATGCTATCGAGGAACACCAAACTCTATATTGTCGCCCGAAAAGAAAGCACTAGCAATGGATCAAGATAAGGAAACTTTTAGTCTGCTTTCCCCAAGATCAAAGGTTCTATCGGCACCAGTAAATCCCATGGAAGGTTCTAGGTTCATCATGGATACTATGCGAGCGTCGATGAAACCGGTAGTGACTTTTGATAGCAAATGTTTCATAATGAACATATTGGAACAACTGGATACTTCTTTTTTCCAAATGTTTTTTTTTTTTTTTTTTTTTTTTTTTTTTTTTTGCTTGTAAAATTTTTAATGTAACAACCCCTCTTTGTGTACTTTCACGCACTGTGGGATTGCTTCTAAATCTGCATTTCATAGAGCATTTCATTTTCTAATGCATTTCATAGAGTGAATTATTCCCTTATTCTTTTATTCCTTTATTCCTTTATATAGTATAAAAATCTAGTAACCATTCAAACTTTTTCTCTTTTTTTTCAAGTCGGATGACTGCAGATCTTTAATAAATTCTCATTCGTTACCTAAAACTGTTATGGATTTAGATTTCAGATAATTTAACAGAGATTTATGAAACTAAAAAGTATGCTCATATTCCTCTTTCATTTATGAAATTTTAACGATTATTTAATTTCGATAAGTCCTGCCACAATACTCGTTGTAAAAAGAGGCAAAAAAGTGGATAAAGAACTTAACAAAACATAAATGAACATAAATGAGAACATAAATGAGAAATAACAAAAATTTAGAGACTTATAACAACGAACTGATATTATTTTAAATTTTGTGACTCTTTCGACAGACGTATAACCAGTCTTCTAATTTCTTTTCCATTTTTATAAGGTTAAAATGCTTTCTGTATGGCATCTTAGGATTTCTAAAACAAACATAATGAAATCATTGGGATCTTGAATATACCTGTTGCACTTTATACTAAATTTTTCTTTTGTTTACTTTCCCTCAGTTTCTCTTGTTACCTGTTGCCTCTATTTCGGTTGTAAATTAAAGAATGTGAAATAATTACCGTTAATCCTCATTTCTATAGGAACGTTGTAATAGGCTTGAGCAAGATAAATGATGGAGGCGCTTTTCTGTCCGCCGCAAAAGTATGATTTTTTCAATACTTGTCTAATCTTCAGCAAAGCAATCATCGTATACAATTGCATTCTTTTTGATGGGGTCTAAATATTCTGACTGTACAAATTCTTCTAAATAATCCGCTGCAAAGATTAGTTTCTTATATTTCTTACATTTTCGTAACAATTCCTTTTGTAACTTTTTATCGCTTATAAAATTTACGATACTTTCTCTTCAAATACCTTCGAAACTTTAAAATTGTTCAATTAAATCTAAGTATTTATATTCATGAATATTTTAGTATATCTGTGTAATGCATCCTAAAATTTTCTTAAGTAAATCATTAAAATATTGGGATTTTCGATCCAGATTCCCCTACAATTAAAAGTCTGAACGGTGGATGGGAAAGGCAAGGTGGATGTGAAGAAGGCATGGGCAAGGGATGAAGAGGACTTAATAATAAAAGCCGGTGATTTAGAAATTAGATATTTAGCCGATTAAATAGGTAAAAACAGAAGCCGACCGAACAGCCGAATTTCCCGGGCTAAAAATTTAACTGAAGCAGAAATTCAAGAAAAGAAATAATGATAAGAAAAAAAAGCGTTGGAGATGTTTTTGGAACAATGTATCAAGATAAAATAAGAGGTTCTTCAAAATTACTAACCCGTAAGCGCTTAAGAAATAAATTAGATCTTTTGAAGGAGATAACTCACAAAATCTGCCAAGCTTCTGTTAGCAAAAAT